CAAAGCCATTTAGAGATGAGTCAACGAGGAGAAATCTATTTCTGTTAATTACAGAAAGACTCCCACAGCAAGCAAAATCTAAAGGGCTTTATGTTAAGACGTTCTGGAACTGATTCTGAAAGGGAGGTTCAATGATGCTAGTGCAATGATGAGGAGGAAAAAATAGCCCCATAAATCGAAGAACGATGGTATCCCATACACGAATGCTATGAGCTTATCCTTGAAATTATTAAAGATGTCATTCACGAGCGACGGATCGCTTTGCATTTGTCCTTCAACTTGAGCTGCGCTGGTATCCAAACAGATTGTCTTTTCATTGATAAAGACGAGAGATCCTTTGATCGTGGAGTTCATGGTCCCTCCGTTTGCGACAAGAACGATAGTTGCAGTCCCTGAGTCAGTGTCAACTTGTGGGCAGTGAAGTCCTCGGTATCATGTACTCCTAGTGAGCGATGCTTGTATTTGGCAGTTTTGTTGATCCTGTCGAAGTCAAAAGCCTGAGAGACCAGAATTTCTCCTGATCTTGTAGCGGCAACGTACCCCTTTTCAGAGCACGGGGGGGGGAAGTCGATCTTTTCGGTCGTGATGTAGAATTTTCGTTGCGTGGAGGGGCAAATGATTGATGTTTCCAGTCCTGGTTTTGAAGGCACATGTACTTGACACCGCTCCTATCTTTTTGATACTTTTCCTACCTTTTCATTTCACCGTTAAGGATTGGGACACCTGTAACAGGCGATATAACGATATAACACCCTGAAATGGTAGACAAACACTTGTTTCCCGATTGCAGTATACCCGGTCATCATTGAGTCTGAACTTTCCAGTTTTATTGTGGATGATGGCACTGACCTGGATTACTTCTATTGTAGACTGGATGTGCATAGTGTTGGCGAGTAAGAAGGTCCATCCGCACTCGATCTCTCGTTCGTCTTTTACCACGAGAGCATTTCTATTAATTCGTGCGTGTTTGCTTTCAGGGATTTACACGCAGATGCGCACTCTTGGGGAGTCATAACGCCGAAATCGGTTCCACTGAAAGTTAAAGTTCCCTCAAACATTGTAGATACGCTCCGGTATATAGCATCACGACAGGTACAGTAACCCGTTTCCTTTCTACTGCTAAGTTGATAAGACCGGTAAGAGGTTCGCGTTATGTCGACAGTATCCCAAAGGCCTAGAGTCGTTTCGAGGTATGATGTCCCCTCCGCTCCGCAAACACTGTTGGTACAGCCGACTGCGCTGTATAGAGTGGGTGAATTGGTGTGTATACGAGATGTAGAACCTTATAAGTCTCATCGGGGGCAATCATCCCCTCATATCCCGTTTGACTTGTGAACAACTTGCCAGAGATTCCTCCAAATAGAGAGAGGACGCACAACAAAGAGCGTGAAAGCGCATGTAGCTTGTGCATGCAATGAATGATTTTTGAGACACATTGTTGGCGTCATTGTATCGTATCTTCGTCCTCGAGCAAGTTCCAACAGCAGAACGGCTTGGAAGTCATCGTCGCCGGACTGGCGACGATAACTTAGACAGTGTAACGATATTTCTAGTTGAGTTACTGAAACCACTGTTTCTAGTGTCCCTCAACCATTTCTCTCTTCTAGATCCGAGCACCGATACGACGACCGCGAGAAGCTGCATGGGAATGGCAACAACGACGAGCGGAAAGCTGATGGCATTCAAGGACTGATCACGACCGAGCAGGGCCTCGATCTCAGTAATCTGTTCAACTATTCCGTTTATTGTGTTCTTGACGGCCCAGCACGCTGGGGGATTAATCCATAAACGTTTTCGTCACCTTCTCGCGCACGTTGTACTTTCTACAGACTGATGTTTTCAGCCCAGAGCTCGTGTCTACTAGAACCGAAGACACCGATACGCATTTCGCGTCGGGCCGACTTCTGTCCGTAGTCGCCACTTGTTTTAGTCGGACGAGGACGACTTCTTGGAAGATTTATTTCACGAAAGCGATCTGCTCTTTTGTTCCAGGCTTTTATATCAACTAGAAGTGATAAAGATTGAAGTCTTCATCACAACATATTTCCAATATTCGAGGCAATTTTGGGCAGTCAGACAAAATATAGCACAGTCATTTAGAGATGAGTCAACAAGGAGAAATCTATTTCTGTTAGTTACAGAAACTCATGAATCATGCGCTATTTGCAATGGAAAGACAGTGACTAAGGTATGGGCGCTATTTATTTATATCACCTCCACATTGCAGATGGCATCGTGATCGCTCGATAAAAAATTGGATAAACATAAGAGAGCAAAATTTCAAAACATTCATCAGTTGTTATTTTCTGCTCTCTTCAACTACCCTACCGATTCTGCGTGGCTATTGCCTTCCATTGCGCTTGATCGGCGTTTATCAACTGTTATCATTCCCCGTTACTTGTCGTTGGCGGTGCCACTCTTCTGCTTGTATTCCTTTCCAACTTGAACGCTCTGGGTTCTGAGGAACAGGAATTATGGGTTCACTTGCCTGATCAAATTCACAGGAATACAAACGCAAATACACGTACACATACACACATACACTCACATACGCACATATACACATGCCACACTCACGCGCATGTATGTTATATACAGAAGCAATTGAACATCCCACACAAACAAACACGCTGAGCGAATTATGTATAGAGGGATAAGAGCAACTACTAACTGCAACTGCTTCAGATGCAGCTAGCAATTGGAGAATTATTGAATATCAAAGGAATGGTGTCTGCTTCCAATCGTGGAGCTCTTCACAATGGCCTGACTCCAAATATTAGANCGCTTGATCAGCGTTTATCGACTGTTATCATTCCCCGTTACTTGTCGTTGGCAGTGCCACTCTTCTGCTTGTATTCCTTTCCAACTTAAACGCTCTGGGTTCTGAGGAACAGGAATTATGGGTTCACTTGCCTGATCAAATACTTAGAAATACAAACGCAAATACACGTACACATACACACATACACTCACATACGCACATACATATACACATGCCACACTCACACGCATGTATGTTATATACAGAAGCAATTGAACATCCCACACAAACAAACACGCTGAGCGAATTATGTATAGAGGGATAAGAGCAACTACTAACTGCAACTGCTTCAGATGCAGCTAGCAATTGGAGAATTATTGAATATCAAAGGAATGGGGTCTGCTTCCAATCGTGGAGCTCTTCACAATTGCGTGACTCCAAATATTAGAAACTTTTTGAGTCATCTTAGGGTATACATAGACCGGAAATGATCAGGTCGACCCGTCGTATTTTGGACACATGTTGAAGGCATTCAGAATGAAGGATTTCTCGAATAAGCAACTCTCTTACTGAAACTATGAGAGAGGAGACAAGGATTCCTTTATTATTCAACTCAGCTGTACATCCTCCCAAACAATTATTTTTGTTCAATGAGCTTCTTGATGCCCAAAATTTTCATAAATGTTAACAGCGAAACTTTCTAAACATCAGTATAATGCCATCATGCTTGTGAAGAATTTTGTATCCACTGGTATAACTCAGTGCAAAGTCATGTCGAGGTATACGAAGGTTTTCATTATTCACTCAGTGGGCTGGTTTGTTCGTAACGTGGACGAAGTAGCCTTTAGCTGTCTCGTGTGACGTCTCCGGAACGCAGCATGTGTACCTGAAGAAAAGTATACAGAACTTTTTATAACAGCGGACTTCTATACGCATACTTCGCGATCCATTTTGTCACAACATCCGTTCCAGAGTGAGTGATTTTATTGATCGACTCGAGCACCTGAAAAACAACTCATATTGAATCGATAAATTTGGAGGCGAACGTTGCTGAAATGCAATCTTACCTCTTCATCGAAAACCCAGTTCTTGGGATCGTCGTGTGTGGCCAGCTGAATACCATTTGCCTCAGCATAAATGAACAACTCAGACGGTACCTGTAATTGGAGCATCCCCTCAAAGCATCAGGACCACCATACCCGTTGTATTGGACCTTTCAATAGCGGACAGGGAGGGTAAGGGATAGGATTCAAGAACGAGCTCCTATTTTCGAGTCTATTCGACTAACAATTTGATGTGAGTGCTGAATGTATCACCTTCAAACTTTCGGCAGGATCAGTAGCTTCTCCGTCCGGGTAGCTACCAAGCATTCAGGCTGTCATTAGGATCCCAAGCAACTATATAAGTCATTGCTGGCACACCCTGCTCTTCTAAACGGACTATCTACTTCCCTTTTAGCCATTCTAAACCTGAAAAATTCATTGGCAGTTGTATGCGCGCTCCCTTATCAAATGCTTATTTTGTAAATCTAAGAATTTGATGACATGCGCTCATATTGTAAATATGCGTGAAAAAAGCATTGAATTATTGGACGCATCTTCAGAAGCCTGGATCATCTCTAAGGGAACAGAAATGGCCCCATTCATTTCAGTTCCCTTAGATGTCATCCAGATGCTTACTGTTAAATCATTATTTCTGTTTCTTAAAATTTCAGTCTAGACCAGATTGTGAAATTGTTCACCTCACAGCTTATCATAGCGTCGAAACTGTAATGCTGTATCGTCGGTTTATGTCGTTTTGCATCTTGACAGAGCAATCGCAACCGGTTGACGTCGAGATCAGAAACTCCTAAGTTGCTTTGAAATTTTTTATGCGGACATCTTCTTGAGGTCACTTTGTCTCAAGGAGTCACTTATTGTGTTGAATCTCAGAAAAAGGGAAGTAATTCGCACTCATGGGGCTAATTACATTATACAAAGTTCGTAAATCACCAAAGTCCAGACAATATGAGGAGCTTATTAACTATCGCAGAAGAACAGTGGGATGCGAAATTTTAGAGGGACTGAGTATATCACACTAATTACAGTAGCCGCGCTAACCCAGTCGCCCAGTTCTCGTTGTCAGATGCAGTAATATGTATGTATGGAATCATATGGGTACTGGTGCTACTTACCATTGACAAAGTGCAAAAGGCTGCAAAGGTAGGCTTCTATGAAAGTGGTTCCACCCAACCTGAAATCCCTAATTTCGATAGGGTCAGAATCGCCTGCGATGCTGTGGAAGACTGGTTCCAGGAAAGATTAACCTGCTCATGTATTGTGTCGAGAAAAAGCTCGTGGAACACCATAGCAACTGCTGAATGATTGGCCTATACCTAATGCCCTCTTCAATGGGCCCTATTTCAACTTCATCATTTTAGAGGTCTACCTCTGTATGGAGTAGTTGAGTGTTGAGCCACTACGTAAAACGAGCAACCTACCAATTGAGCGGACAAAACCCTTGTCAACCAAATCCTCAACGGCGGCCCAGACTGGTCGCACTTGTTGCATCCATTCACTATCGCTCAAATACTAAACAAAATTATTAGAGAGAGAAGACTTCATGGATTTATATTTTAATATATTTTAGCCGGGGCGGAGGTGGTGTAGTGGCAAGAGGCGCACTATATCACACGCACGGTCAGGGGTTCAAACCCCGGATCGATGGCCGCCTAGGCCAACGAGGCCTTCCATCACTCCGGGGTCGNAGGATGAAAGCACTGAGTTGTACATCGGCTGGCCACCGAAAGTCATTGTATAGGCCACATACGCACTCACCACGCCACTACGATTCTGAATGGAAGTCGAGTGCGGGGGCGCATCCCTCAGACGGGATTGATTAACTCCAAAAACTTTATCCTTATCCTTTATCCTTTATATTTTAGCGGTTCAAAAAAATTTATTTTCGATTTTTCCCGTTGTTTACGAAATTTTGTGACCGTTTCGGATGCTATCATCTGAGGACTGTATCCAGATTTTCGGATGTAGAGGATCTAAAAAATTTACCATGGATTCGGCGAACGGGAATGCAATTATGAGCTCTGATATTGTTTTGATATGAAGCGTGTTGCGTGCGATGCGTACGGCATCCTCAACGAACTCAGCCAGCATAGCAGACAAGCACACCTGAAAGAGACGTTCTCGCTTTCGAAATTGGTTCGATCGAAAAATCTCGAACTTCAGCAACCTTTAAGGTGCATCTGACTTCCTTCTTCGGTTTTGATGGCAATCTTGTGGTGGGCGTGTAAACTCTGTCAGTCATGCTGAACGGTGTGTCATGTTTTGCCAGATAATTGATTGCAGAAGGAAGTTCATCAGAAAACTTTGTCGAAGAACTGAGTTTCCGCTGAGGTCTCGGCAACTGGAAAGTGATTTCAAAGAGAAAATGCGAGTAAGCCTCAAAAACATGGTGGGAAACGTCATACAATTTGGTCTTGATGTAGTTGATGCACATGATTACCAAAAGGACTGATAAGGTACAAATGCAAACAGCTCACACTTTGGACGGTTTCCACTGTCTTGGAAGTCTAACATTATACCGTGGAAGACTTATGAAGTTGGGGTGAAGGCAATGTGCTAATTGAACTGGACTCTAACCTCTACTCCAACCCCATGTCAAATTTTCTTCTCCTACATTTTTTACAGACTTATGATATGGAGAGGGCTTAGAGTTACCTTACATATTGAGCCAAAGTCTTTAACAAGAATGATACTGAAGGAGTGCATGTAACATTTTGAGACCTCGTATACGAAATCTAGGAAAATAAATTATTCGAATTTCTGAGCGTTTCTAGAACCACTACACAACTGATTATCAAAATCTATGTTTATGGTTTCCATAGCTTCCAAAAAAATTTTAAGTGTAAATGTTCCACAATGACTGCACGGAAGAAGTAGAAATGATTTGATTCTTTCAGTAATTCTGACGCCAAACTCTAGCATCCAAACATTGACCAGATGCCTGCGACGAAACCTTCCGCCTGCTACAGAACATGTTTGTTATAAATTCATGCAACATAAATGTTACACTTTATTAGAATATTTTTTTCCTACTGAAATAAGGCCCAACTGAATATTGCCCTCCACCTTCAGTTTTGCTGAGTCTTTCAGCCATTTCACTGGCGATTGATTGAGCCCACCTCTCCGAAGAATCCGAGGAATTTGCATGGGTAAGTTTGTTACCTTTGTCCAAACTGACCAATCGTACATGTTGCTCGCCAAGAAGGGGGTTTTAAGGTTTGGAACAAAAGTAGTTCGAGAGCGCTAGATGCCTAGAATGCAGCATGGGGACTGTTCCCGTAAAAGCTTTAAAATCTTCTGCTATGTCAACATTGTCACCCAGTGACGAAAACTGAAATTAGTGGAAAGATTTTTTCATTTTTGTTACCTTAGATAAATGTCTCAATCAGGTTGTGTAGCTGTTTAGAGCGTATAATTACTGCTCTAACGGTGCGGCTTGCCAAACATTGTTCAGTAATGTTTTCCATAGTAATGTGACCCCAACCGAGAAACCATAACCTTCCACTTCTGTGAAAGACGTTCTGGCCACTTTGGAGACTGTTACTCTTTGACCGTTAATTGTCAGTTGATAGGTCTCTCCTGCAGATACCCATTTTCAACCGAAGACTGACGTTTTATATATTTGTCGATGGAGGCATAAAAACTTGTAAATCTATCGTACAGCACATCAAAAGAGATAACCGGCCATTTTTGAAAAAATAGTGAGGTCGAACTCCAAGTTTAATGGTATTTGATCAACCACGAAGTATAGTTCTCAGATATAAAACGATGAAACAGACCGCTGAATAGTCCAGCAAGTTGCCAGTATGTAGAGTGCAGTAGCTGCCAGGATCTCTCAAAGGCATGTCAGCGGCAATTCGTGTTCTAATTATAGAAGACCGCTCTGAAAACGGGATGGAACGAACAATAAACAATGACGTACGACCTGCAATACAGATACGGTGTAACAACAACATTAGAATGAAAGCAACAAAAGGACGATCAAGACCAAAAAAGGTAAGCAGAAGCAGTGCATGGACCAAGTAATATATCGATAGAATCCTGATGTGCTTAGCAGACGAACTTCAGAAGGAGCCATGCAGCGAATGTTATAAGTAGGCCTTCTGTGCTCCAACAACACAACAGTGGACGAGGCACATGATGGAGGAAGTGTATGAACACAGGTGAAATTCGTACAGGAAGAGGATGAAGCGAGTGATCACTCAAAAAAATTCAGATGAAAGGAAACGACGACACGTACCATTATGGTTTCGAGGGGCTAAGGAGAGATAACTTGCCGTCAACGAAGAAATATACCGTAGTCATATGGCACTTACTAGATCCCCATGGGCACGTCAAAGAAATGCGAATGCGGCAAGCAAAGATTGAGGTTGAAAACATTGGCTTGGTGAAGCCTGTATCATTCGCCCTCTTCAAAAATACTGGTCTCCAGGGTTTGCGGTCAGGATTCGTTGAAGGGTCCGTATTGGACAGCGCTCCTACAACCCACTTCTGAAAATTCATTGCCAGCGAATGAACTGCCCATTACGAACTTCCTAGTCAACTTATGCTCTCCTTGCCATATGATCGAAACCGGTCGGACAGAATGTTTATCATGTCATTACTGCAACGGCGTATTTATGATGAAAGACCTGCTTCCACCATCCGAGTGAAGGAAAATACCACCCGCAGAGCTTCTATTCTCTTTTTTGGCGACCTATAAGTAAAGGGAGTTAGCTTGCTGCTCGTATGGCTTCATTCATAAAATGTGAGGATCCAAAAACTTCAAATCTGTGACTCGTCTAGTTACCTTTCGGGAGAGCTTCGTCAACATCGTGAATTCCTGCAGCAAAATGTAATATTTTTACAGCCAGCAATCCGGCAGTGTAACTAAGGAGCAGCTACAGGACTATTGTAGCCTTACTTTTTTAAACTGTAGCCATTTGAGCAGATTGGGCCTTTCACCATCCTAACCATTGACATCTTCACTTGCTTTAGACATATAGCGCCCTAAGTGTGTCGGTTGGTTTACTGGCGTGTGTGTGCATGCGGTGTGCGTGTCTGTATCCGTGTGTATATGTATGTGTTTATGTATTTGTGTATAGGAGGTGGCAGGATGGAAACAGCTGTTATAGTTGACAGGACTAGGTTGCGCCTAGAGGAAGCGAAGCGTGCACGAAAGAAGACGGGAACTCTGTTGGTAGGTAGCAGAACCGAAATTCGCCAGTAGGGAGCAAAGCTTGCGCGAAATAAATATCCTAGTGTAAAATCATATCTCCTGTCTTCGTGGATATAAGCGGTCAAATTGGATACGAGCAGAAGGCTAGAGGACGAGAGCAGTTATGGTAGGTGGCAGGTCTAGGCTCCGCCCACAGGAGATGGGTAAGCAAAGAAATCGCTGACTCAGACCTAGACCGTTCAAGTTCGGCAGGAGTTAAGGTGGCAGGGCGAGAATGGTAGATGACAGGAAGACTCCGCGCACAAGATCGGAGCATGCCTAGGGGTTTCTCAATAGAGCCTTAAGAGTTCACAATGGTCATAGTATGTACAGACGGAAGGATCGAGAGAGTGTTGGCATGAGGTGGGTATTGACTGAGCTGGACTCCCTTTTTTGTGGCCCCCTTCTTTCTTATTGGATCTAATCATGCGAAATTTGAATATGTGTAACGTGGATGTACTGTAAGTATTTACCACAATTAACCTGCAATATGATCACGTTCCAGATATCCCAAAGACCTTGAACTAAAATCATTTAGAAATACGAATGATGATCCTTCTAGAAGTCCTTCCCTTTTTGCCATGTCTGAATTGTACGAGCGCTAATGTCGAACACAGTAGAGGAGAAAAACGCACATAAAGTGCGAATAACTGCTGACACCACTAATTTTGCTTTTTGCTCACTCAAAAACACTATGCTCTTAGTTACGTGGACAGTGATGCTTTGCGGTCAAATAGTGTTGGATAATGTGAAAAATGCTTTAGTTAAACATATGAAAATTTTGCGCGATTTGCTCCACTAAGAAAAAGGATACGACCGAAAAAGCTTTGGACGAATACTTACGAGCGCTACTGTGTAAGTAACGGAAGTCAGTTTGCCACAGGCAGCCCATTCAACTTCTGGAAGACGGTATGTTACACATGCGCTTGCGAACTGTCGTGCACGACCAAGCGATTCACTAGTGCTGGCTGTTTCGTTTACATCTCGTGAATTTGATCACAGTAGGACTATACGGAAATGTTCCGATCAGACGAAGGAGCGAGTAGTGGATTTAGCCATTTTTAGACCATCAAACTTGATCACTGTCTTCTTGACGTGTAATTTGGGCTCAGGAAAAGTGTTTGGAGGCTCATCTACACCTACCCACCAAGCAGAACTTTCCTCTTGTCGCATGCGATTCACTTTCCATCACATGTTACAATATGATAAAGGAATGGCGCAACGTCATTCCTTCTGAGCAAGGAACTTGAAATTTCTATTCGAGTCGATTTCAATTGTGCGGCTCCTTGAGTTTATGTGGCATCCAATTCTCAATGCCATCCCCACTCCAAGCTGCTTGAGGTGGCTAGCGACGACTATATGAAAAACGCCCATGTGCTTGAAAATCTTTTTCAAAGGCTGACATCGATATTTTTCGGCTGCTCTTAACGAAGCATCGCTATCAACTAACGATGTCGACCAGTTGACCCTTTCCCTTCCAGCTACTCATCTTCACTTCTGAACTTCTAAAATCGGTGAAGAACCGTTGCATCGATGCGGTGCCTTCTTCGTTGATGCTTGTGGCTGCTTCTTTGGCAGTTTCAACAAGCTTGGAATAGTTGAAGACAGAGTTCACGATGATTTTGAGATACTTTTTTCTAGACAAAAAGTAGAAGTATAGGTGGGGAATAGCTCATCGGTAGTGAAAAAAGCGAGAAGATCACCAGTTTCGAGAAATGCAAGGCTTTTCAAAAGTAGTGGAAGTAGAGGTTGGACGAGATTACCATTTTGCAAATAACGTGGAAGGGGTATTTGGACGATATTTGAGTTGTTGTGGTCGCGAAACGCAAAACATGTGTTGCAGAGCGTTCTCCTAGCCAAAACTGAATTTCAGTGTAGCTATCCTACTTACTATAAAGCGCTCCGTCTGTAGGAGTACAGGCGACAGGATGAGAACACTTATGGTGGGTGGCAAGGCCAGAGTCCGCCCACAGGGGTGGGGTTTGAGCGGAAACTCATTAATCCTGTCCCAGTAGGACTAGAGCATTCGAATTCTGTAGGAGCATAGGTGACAAGCTGGGAACACTTATGGTGGGTGGCAAGACCAGGCTCCGCCCACAGGAGGCGGGGTTTGAGCAGAAACCCCTAAATCCGATAAAGGTCTGCAATGAAAATCAGCTAAGGTGGCTTCGCCTCTCATGGCTCAAGCCTGGCTGCACGCGATAGCGTGCGTGGCCGCTTGGTGAGTCATGATAAGTTGTTTGAACTTCCTACTTCCTTGTTAGGTTTCCTGGTGCTGCCTCTACAATGCTGGTGGAACTCGGTTCAGTTTACACATGGGACGATTTTGAGTCTTCATAACGTCCTATCTAGGTCGTTTTCCGACCTGACAGCGCCACATATGCTATACAAGAGGGCCACAAATTTATCCTGGGGGGTATATCTTATGAGACATCACTACAGTGATTTGCGCCTTCAAGTTAAAGCATTCAAAAAATAGTTTCATCCATCATGAAAAAGAACGACTTGAAGATTTCAAAAACCTTACGCAATTTCGGGAAATGTGCTCTAGCAGGAAGAGCAACCTATGGCTCTAAGGAGCACAATATATATGTCGATTGGTCTGATTTGACAGCCGCCAGAATATGAATTTATAGGACGCGTGCGCGGAAACGGCAAGAACTCTCTTTACAACCTTATACAGTGCGTTTCATAATTATAAGGTCACCCTCAATTTTCGCACTTTCAAGGAAAGCAATCATTAAGTTTTTTCTAGCATCATGAACGGATTCCCCACCACGAGTAACCTAGGTATCCGTTTTCTAGCTGCAGCTGCATTTTTCTGAACTTTTTTAGAACAGTTTATCGGTTTTTGCACCGTTTCATAATTATAAGGTCACCCCGAGAAAGTGATCAATTATTAACGAAAGAGAGGAAATTTCGTGTTTGAAGAGACTTGTAAAGGTAAGCATGTGTAGCAAAGGCATTTCTAAACCTGACTGTCAACATGACTCGTGGTCATCTGCTTTTCTCTGATGAGAAGGCTCATCATGAAGGTGTTCTCCGTACTCGAGCCATTTCCAGGCAAATAGAAAGATTCCCTTGGTCCATTCGGAGATTTCTGAAGAGTCCTCGTGTCGTTAGATATAACACCGACTGTGGACACCCATGAAAGATTACTACCCGTGACGAGCGGAAAATTCTGAGGACTGTTTCCAACAGTACGTCCTCCTTGAACCAGATCCGATCAGAATTAAACCTCTCTGTGTGGAAAACTACAGTCTGGAGAGCAGTGAGAAGATGTGAGAACATCACCAGGTAAGCAATGGAGAAGGTGCCACGAATCACCGATCGTCACAAAGAGGCTCGACTCGGATTTGCAAAGTTGAACCTAGGGAGAGATTGGGCAAAGGTAGATTTGCATCAAAATCTTACCATAGAGCTGAATAATTCCTATTCAGGTCGTCTTTTCGGATGAAAAGAAATTCAATCTGACGGGAAAAGGC